TCACACACACACACACACACACACACACACATACACATACACATACACATACACATACACATACACATACACATACACAAACACACACACACACAGTGTGACTGCTGGTGGGCAACAGTAATAAAGGCTCAGGGTTCCACTATGATGAATTACCAACTAATGCACACACATACATGAACACACACGGTATCAGGTACACACATGTAAGAGGAACATTGTTTTGAACAGAGAGCACAGTAAGACACAGTTAGCGGTAAACAGACGGTGAAACAGTCCCATGTCCAACTAGTGTGTAGAGAGTTTAAATTAATCAGAAAAATTGAAATTATAATATTTAGTTTCTCTTGCTCCCTCAGGATGTCCTCTTTATCTCGTCATGATGGAACATATATTCCACATTTAGCACCACCGATACGTCTCTTTATCACCAACATGATACCCGATCGATTCATCCTACTGCTACTCTGGTTGCCTTTCCAGCAGTTTACTGGTTCTCATTGTTTTCCTCGAAGTAGCCACTGTGACATCATGTGTCTTAAAATAGAATTGATTGGTAATCCAAGGGACTAAGGAAAATAGAAACAGGCTTAAAAAGGTACAGTGCCAATATTGCTGCTGGGTTCAGAATATTAATAACTTCATAAGATAAGATGTTTATTGGCCCATTTAGTCCAAGTTATATGCTCCTTTATTTTATTCCTCCTGTCAAGCACAGCCCCAAAAAGAAAATGTGTTCACTAAGAGATGTTCCCCCTTATATCTTTCACAATTAAAATGTTACAGTTAATGTTAACTCTTTTCTATATTCACTAATAGAATGTCATATTGGATATTTGGCTTGATTAATGCATGTTTACCATCTTTGGCACATTGGGTGTAGTGCCAAAACATAATAAATATTATGTAAAAGTAATAATCAACCAAGAAGAACAGCTTAAAGTTAAGCAACCACTTCCTTTTCCACACTCCCAGCATGCTTCATGACCTACAGTACTGTATTACATTGCCTGGATCAACTTATGAGTTGTATGAATGCATATAACAACAAGAATGGTAAAGCTTTATTTCCCCTCTACATTAAAAAGGAAATCCAGAGAGGAAAACGTGGAAGCAGTACATATTCTCTGTTAACAAGGTGTGTGTCATGCTCTGTAAATCTCTCACAAATCATGCAGAGTGTGTGTTTGTGCGCACATGTGTGTTAATGCATGTGTGAGTCACTTGTTCTGCTCTGACTCAGTCTTTACCAGAATGTGAACCTAAAATTACTTCTGGTATCAAACAATCTGGGATGCTTACATCATTTCCTGCACTGGTTTTTCTGCACAATTGTTAAGTTGCTCTAAATATAACGGGCCTGGTCACAGGTAAAAGCTTTTCAAAGTGCTACATTTCCTATGATGGGTTGACTTCTTACAGCCTTTTGCACAATTTATGTTTTGTGGTTATTTTAAAGCTTAAACAACACTTTTTTTAAATGAAAATGTGCTGCCTTGTGTTAACATTTCAGTATGTTAAATGGGCTGGCAGGACAAAGACAATATACAATATATATTTGATTACATCACCTTGGGCTCAAGGAAATTGGGACGGGCACTTTTCACACCCTGGTGACGTCTTATAGCCTGAAAGTTAATCAACTAATCATGGAAATAATAGCCAGAGTAATTGATCATGGATCATTAGTTGCATCCTAAAGGGAACACTATTTCCTGCATTGGAAGGTCGTAAACCTTGAGCTGCAGTATCGGCCAATATAGACATCATTTTATGATTCTGGTATGAATCCGAACACAATAAACGTATCAACTATGTTTTATCAATTAGTTAACATACTGTACAATCATACCATTTCTAACTCACCGCTTAGTCTAAAAGATTTTCTAACATCCGGTAATACTTGATTCACCTAATTTCAAACAATCCCCTTTTAAAACAAATATAGCCTTTAGTCCTCATCAGTCACATGACCCTTATTATGTTTCTGCCTGCAGGTTTTAAAACCATAATTTAGATGAGCCTTGTTAAAACACTTGTAAGTGCAGCATACTTCAAACAAGTGAAAGCAATGCATACTCGTGACCATGAGTCCAGGACTTCCTAAACTTTATGTGGTGTGAAGTGTGTGTGATTCCAAAGTGTTAACGCACGCTACATTGCTAACACATGAGCTGGAGCCAGGGTGTCGGCCCGGAGGTGATGACATCACGTCATGGCCCCATCATCACATCATGACCAGCGCCCATTTAAAATGATGTCACAGCAAAGACAGCGAATCCTGGATCAGCTCCAGTGGGGACGGGGAGCCAATCAACAGCAGCTGTTTGAAAGGTCATGACCCTGCCCACCCAGATAGACGAGTTCCATGTTGAATTGGGCTCTCACACACACACAAACACACACAAACACACGCATACATGTGCACTTTGAAAAGTCACCCTGCATGTACGGATCAAGATGACAGCGCTTGGTATCAAAGCAGCGCTCATCGTTTGGTGCTAATTATTAGCATCTGCTGATCCTTGAAACAATCTGCTTGATCTCCTGCTGATAAACAAATAATCAGATATGACTCTCTGATCTGGAGAAGATTCAAACGCTCACACTGTAAACGGGTTTAAGCATCTCACACACACAGTTCACAAAGAGGTGAAAACACAACCCACAGGAGATTTGAAAACACATATTCTGCTTAGAAATATAAAAACAACACAGACAGAAGAAATAAATGAAACATAAACATACAATTATTTTGTTGTTTTGAATTAATTTGTGTGCATCTCTGTTCGCTTGTTCTTTGATAACAGAATAAGTCAGTGAAGCTCGGTGTAACTAAGAAGTTTGCTTTGATCTCTGTAGGAGCATCAGTGTCTGTGTTTTGAGCTCCAAAGCAAGAGATGGAGCCTTGCTCGTTCTTCGTTCCCTGTCCAGTTAAGGCATCAGATACATCAGTAAGAGGTGAATGAGGTTTTTTCTTTACCTTTGGCAGCCTCTCTGGGTCCCCAGGGTGCCGAGGGATGACCTTCTGAAGCCTCTGGAAACCGTAGTCAATGGTCGGCTCGTTCAGTGCTGCATAAGACAAATGGGAAGGGGGAATTAGTTAAAATGGTTTCATCATTACATTACATCTCAATTAGGTGACGCTTTTATCCAAAACAACTTACAATAACTGCAATAAACCGTGAAGATACAAACTCGGAACAACAAGAAAAAAGCAGATATATTCAAAAACCATTTCAAATGCTGGTGCGACCTTTTATGTACTACAATTCTTCCAACTACAGTACAGGAGCTCTCCTATGCAGATAAAATATACAGAAGTTGCCTAAAGAGCCCATGATTTAAGCACTTCAACTATGGCAAACAATGGTGATCTCATGCTGCACCAAAATATCCAATTAATAATGTCATAATAAATATTTGAACAATCTCGATTGGTTAACATGGACATTGCACTAATACAGTAACACATGTTTTAGAGTGCAGGAAGAGGCACTTGGGTTACTCTACCTAAATAATGTTTACATTTCACAATAATACGTTATGTTACACGGTGAGCCTTTAATACTGTTGGTGTTCAACCTGAGCCTGCGCACATGATAAACAGACAGACAACATCTGTGCCCATCAGCAGGGGAGAGGATGACATCCAATTTTGTGACATTTTGTTCCCAAGCACCATGCTGGTATCAAGTATGTAGGTTTTTTTAGTAAGACTAGTTTGGAAAATAATGAACCTGCTCAGCATGATTTCTAAAAACCTTCAGAATCCCATCAGAGGTGAGAGAGCTGCTCGTGACTGTAAGGTTGGCAGTTCAGATCTGGCTGAGGAACTGTAACTGAGAAAAGCACATCGCTCAAAAGCTACTGTGTGATACCATGTCCCATATTTTGTCTGTTGATGAGCATAAAAACTGTTCCCATTAAATGTAAATGAAGCAGCCCAACAAAATGAAACATGCAAATGTACAGAGATGGAGAGACCTGGTAAAGTAACTAATGGTGCCAAAAGCATCTTTATAATAATAACATTGCAGATTACATTTAAAGGGTCCTAAAGAATGCTTAATGTTTGCTTTAATGTTGCCATTATGTCCTTCTACAGTCTTTATCTAATCAGCATGTCAATCAAGTCGGCTCTACACTCAGTAAGTCACAGTGATGGGATCATTTAAAGTGTTTCTGCATTTATTTGTCTGTGTTGAACAAGTGTATGCATACCAATCCTGAACTTACTATGCAAAAAGTAAGGTCACTTTTATAGCAAACACATTCAACAAAATAGCCAAAACTTTAAAAATGTAGCAATGTAGGAAGCCTGAAGTGTGTCGCCATTAAAGGATAAAAGAGGAAAAGAGTCTGTGCGAGATGAAGGTGTGGGGTGCAGATGGTTTGTGTGTGTGTGTGTGTGTGTGTGTGTGTGTGTGTGTGTGTGTGTGTGTGTGTGTGTGTGTGTGTGTGTGTGTGTGTGTGTGTGTGTGTGTTTATGATGTCCAACTGTGCAGCTGGAGTAAAATTTGGTACTTTCCACATCCAACACCGATAAATTACTTGCAGCTGAATGTCTTATATGTTGTTTTCTAGTTTCTTTTAGCGTGTGTATGTGTGTGTGTGTGTGTGTGTGTGTGTGTGTGTGTGTGTGTGTGTGTGTGTGTGTGTGTGTGTGTGTGAGAGTGTGCGCATATGTTTCTGGTTGTTGTTATGTCCTAATTCACTCAATTTGTTAGAAACATAAGTTCATGAATTGTGAGTTGTAAAAATACCAGATGGCTAACAGTCATGAACAATACTTCCCACACTCACAAGAACATTCCTTTTTCAAATTCTGGACAATTTATGATTCTATGATTTATAAATGTGAAAATTACAATGGTAAACGGTTGAGGGAAAAAAAACAGGAAGTTAAGCAAGGGATATACGAAATAAAAAAATTAAAGGGAGGTGAGGGAATGAGAAGAGAGCATGTGTTATTCCATCCAAAAAACACAGAAAAAGGCTCAGTTATGGTGAGAAAAACAAAAGTAGAAAAACAGCTGCCTAACACTCGGTGGGATATCAACTGTCAGAATTAACTGCCAGTGTCAGATCCACACTCCCTGCACATCTCTGGAGACGTTTAACCGATGCTAGCTTTAATATAACACACACACGCGCACACACACACATAATGTACATAACAGGATGACCCTAGTTTCGCTGCCTCAAGCCTAAAGTGTCTCCAACCGACTCTTTATTAATAGAAAAAAATGGATGGTGTGTGCATGTTGGTGTGTGTTTAAGGGTATGTGTAGGTCTGTGTGTGTGGAGGCTAATGTCAGTGTGTGTGTACTTTGAAGACAAAAGGTCAGGTTTTTCCAATGCTTTCTTTGGAGGTTTCTTACTGCACAAAAACAGAAATAGCATCAGTGCAGCAAAGGGGTCTAGTGGATTACACATTAATCTGAACAGAAACACGGTCCAACCAGGTCCTTTCCTGATAACAAACAGGCTCTTAGTTATTTTAAATTTTAAAATCTTTCTCTGAGCAGCTACCATGAGTAATTGCATATTAATAAACATCTCTTAACAAAAAACCTTTATGCCAATATGTACAGTGAAATAGTAACCACCAATACCATTATAGTTACTATAATTCTTTAGAATTTCAAAATGTCCAGCAAGCTGTGCTGTTCCTAAAAAAATGTGTGTATAGATATGACAACCTAATCAACGGAAGAAAACACTTTAGCAGATTTGTCTGTGATACTGAGGCTTCAACCCATTTGATCTTGCCTTAATGTGCCACCCTGCTGTCCATTAAAGCACCTCCTCCACCTCCCCCATCCTCCCTCTATTCTGCTACCTCCCCCCTCTTTCTTAACTACACCTTCTGCCACTTTCATCCACCCATCCATCCATCTCGCCATCACTCCCCCTCCAGCCCGCACTCGTCCTCCTCTCAGAGTCCAGAGCTGTCCGCAGATCAATACTCATAGAAGTTTCATGAGGACAGACCCTCCACTCGTGTTTCACAATAAAATGTGAGCAGAAGGGGGGAGACAGAAGAGACTAAGAGGGGGAGGGGGCCGAGAGAAGAAAGCATGTCTAAGATTTCTTATGTGCGTATATTAAACTGTATAATTGTGAGGATATCTTTTGACAGTGTTTAAACAGTAAGGTGGGTAATTGAGCAGGAATGGAGAAAAAAGGGTGAGGCTGGGTGGAAAAGACAGAGCTGATGTAAAAGGAGAAGAAGAGGAGGAGGAGCAGGAGGAGGTGTGGTAAGATTGATTCTCTGGCCAGCCTGCAGTTCAATACCACTGAATTATTGCTTCATTCTTCCCCTTATGAGATGAGATCTCTTTCTCTCTGGCTCCACTTCTCTCAGTGACTTTCTGTGTGTTTGTGTATGTGTGTATGCACATGTGTGTATCTGCATGTGCGTATCAGTTTATGTGTGATCCACTTATGGGCGGATCAATACTTTACAATCTGGTTTTAAAAGTCCACCTTTCTGTCTCACTCTTTATGTGTCTCTTCGTTTTACTGTCTCTCTCTTTATATATTTCAATCTCTTTTATTTCTCTCCTTCTGTGTCTGCAAGATGAAAGGTGAATTGCTCTTAAAAAGAAAGAAAAAAACAAAGATTGTGACGTTTTTGCAGCTTTTACTAAAAGTTTCTTCTATCCACAGCTGAGATATGGATTTTTGTTATGCAGCTGCATTGACAATAAATCAGCTCTATATGTGTGTGTGTGTGTGTGTGTGTGTGTGTGTGTGTGTGTGTGTGTGTGTGTGTGTGTGTGTGTGTTTGTGTGTGTGTGTGTGTGTGTGTGTGTGTGTGTGTGTGTGTGTGTGTGTGTGTGTGTGTGTGTGTGTGTGTGTGTGTGTGTGTGTGTGTGTGTGTGTGTGTGTGTGTGTGTGTGTGTGTGTGTGTGTGTGTGTGTGTGTGTGTGTGTGAACATTTATTGATTGTCACTTTGTACCATTGTATTTTTATAGAAGTGTGTTGAGAATGTTAATTTTTCCCACCAGGCCGATGAAGCAGCCATACGGCACTTTGTGTGTGTGTGTGTGTGTGTGTGTGTGTGTGTGTGTGTGTGTGTGTGTGTGTGTTTGTGTGTGGTATACCATCTGTTTACCAGACTACTCACCATCTTTCCCTCATATCTCCCTGATTTACAATTACTTTCAACTCCTGCCCCTGTTTGAAAGTGTGTGTGGTAAGTTGTGTAAGACACGACCCTACCCAAGGGTGGCTTTGCGTGTGTGTTTACGTTGCGCGCCTTTGCATACTTGCGTGTGTGTGTTTAATTGCTCGGTCCTTACACCCAGAGGCAACCACAGCTAAGAAGCACTGAAAAACCTCAACAGCCAATCAGCTTCCGCCGCAGTGACCTTTCACCAGCGGCTTCCAGAAAGAAGCCAACCTTGAGGCGGGGTCAGGCAACCGCAGTAACGGATCGCGTTTCCTGGGTCACATGTTGAAGCCATCAGCCAATCGCGAGGTCACGGAGGGTCATCTCCGCCCAATAGGAGATGAAGTTAGACACCAGACGGACCAATTACCAGCCGGCTAGCCTCAGGGTCAGACCAAAGATGTTTTGACTAAAGAACAGTGAAGGAGCTGACTGGACCTTTCTCTGGACAAAGAAACTACCGACTAGGGATATTAAAACAACTTCTAACACTCACACTACCCGCAAAAAAACTTGACTTGTTCTCAGTTTACCGAACATGGTCAAGAAATGTAAATCAAAAACAATATTTTGCGTCTGTTTATTTCACTTATTTATTCAGTTCTTTAACAGCAAGTCCATTTTCTCGCATATACATTTCTGAATGAGTTCCTAATTTACTTTGTCTAGTCTGCCAACAAATAACTTCTTCCTCCTGATTTTGAATTCTTCTTCTGCTGTTGCTTTTCATTGTGTTTCTTAAATGTATTATTCAGGTACTTTTTGGGTTAATATTTAGCTGTTAGAACTGGAAGTTCAACCTACTTATCAAAAACAATTGAAGATGAACAGTACCAACATTCTGAAAAAAAGATAATAAGACTACCAAGTAAAATGACTTTTTCTTAACAATTCCAGTACACCCCCCCCCGCACAACAACTCTATAGATTCACCAAATACAAAATGGCATTAGAAAAACAAGAACTACAGTCATGCTATAACAAAAGCAAAGAGCTTGACGGACGCACCAAACTTTCTAAATAATTTCCTTGCAGTTTAACTACAAACCCTAACCGAACGGATCCATTCCATTGAACACTTACACCTGGTTGCCTCCTAACACTGCCATTTAACAGCCTTGTCTTAATGACTGTGGCTCAATCTTGAAACACCAAACTCATCACCTCCTTTAGTATTTTCCCGGAGATTTAAAAGCCTTCATGAGCTTGACGCCAGCATTAAAAGGGACAATTTATTCATGGTGGGTTTTTCTTTCATATCTATTGATCAGGTTTAAATCCTCATCTTTATCTGTCGGCCATTAAATGTCTTGGAAGAATTTACACAGCAGCTGTTTTTATTTCCTGCCTTTCCTCCCTGGGAATGACGTCATCATTACGTTGTGATGGAGCCATGTTGAGCGGATCAATAGCAGACATCACATCACCTCTATCCATTTCCACATGTATGTGAGAAAAGAAAATGAGCACACACACACACACACACACACACACACACACACACACACACACACACACACACACACACACACACACACACACACACACACATATGCAGTCACAGACAAAAACAGCAAAAAAGCCAAAGCTTGAATTATGCCCAAACCCTCAAGAAAATAGAAGAAAACTCTCAACAGATCATTAAATCAAGAGCATGTACATGTGGATTTTCACGTGTGTTTATTCGTGTGTACAGTTGACTTACCTGTGTATATGAACCTTCCTGGTGTGCCTTTGCAGAACTGTTTGGACTTGTAGGACAGAGTGACCTCGACGACCCCGGGGATGTGTCTGGGAGGCGTCTGCACCCGGATGGCATGCGGCGTGATCAACTGAAGAAGGAAGGAAAAGGCGGACCAAGACTCAGTACACAAACACACCAAATAATGCAGCTCTGCGTCAGGACAATGCAACCGGTGTTTGGTCCGTTGCTAAAAAATCAGAAAAAGCACAGACACAACTTCTAGAGTTTGATTTCCAACAGAATCTAGATTTGAACCTGGTTCTGTTGTTTACACTCCTATTTTTCTTTTAAATCGGACTATGGATCAAGTTGTGACTGTTGCTTTAAATTATTCTGTAAGCTTGCCAGAGCACAACTTAAATGTTTGTTTAAGTCAGTGGGTTGGTGATGTATTGCATTTACACTTGTAAACTGATTCAAAATATTGAATAAACACGGTTTCCTTTTTCTCATTGAGTTCACATGTAAGTTGAAGAGGTTCTCTTATATCCAATGTAGAATATATTTGAATAATTTAAACGGGTTGGTATTCATCATAATCTTGTTAAAATACATATTACTGTATGTGATTTTTATTGTCTTACTGGACTTTTGACCTACTGTACAACAGACAATACAACCACTTCAGATACAATCAAACTTTCCAGCACCTATGTTGATGTTAGATAAAGAGGAATCATTGTATTGAACCGAACACGGCTGTACGTGACAAACACTAACTTTTTTAGCACTTCCATGGATGGGTTTCAAAAACAGTTTTTACTACTTGGCTCAGGTTTGAGGAATCTGCAAGTAGGAGGGAAATCTGCAGACAAACAGAACTTGGCAGAAAGGCAATCTCTTCCCACCGACACATTTCTCAAACCGTGTTTTCACGCTTCGGAATCAATAATCAGGTTGAGTGCAAATGGAACATTCGGTTGGCCAAAATAATCCATTAAAGCTGTCCGAGGAACGCCAAGAGAGCCAGGTCAGTTTGAACTGAACTGAACTGAGACTCTGTACACATGTTAGTGTGTGTAAGTGTGGCTCTCAACACTGTAAACAAACCCCTCAGCTCTAAACACACACACCCATCCATGTGTGCCAGCGTATGCACACACAAACACACACAAACTGGGTGTTGTTGTTGGAAAGGAGCCACGGTCGCTCGGCACACACGGTGAGTGGAGTCAGAAGACAAATAAACACTCTGTAGAGGAGTTGCGCTGGGGAAAAGTACGACAGTGTATTTGTGTGTGTGTGTGTGTGTGTGTGTGTGTGTGTGTGTGTGTGTGTGTGCGAGCATTAAGCCGATGGCTATCAAAATGTGCTGATTTGATCAGTATTCCACCGAGAAAGAGTAAGAGGGGGTGTGGGTGAGGAAGGTAGAGAGGGGCGGCGGTCGCTTGTTGGGGGGGGGACTCATTAGAGAGGCAAACCTCATTTAGACAAACATTTACACACACACATTCACATGATCACACGCAGCTAAGAGCCCGGCCATGAGGGAAAGTATGTTTTCAGATTGAATTACTTCCAACGGTCGAGGGCAGAGGCACACAGTTGAGGGGTTGAAACAACATTGAGACAGGATGATGATTTCTGACAAACTGACCTCGCTCCAAACCAACATGGTACCGAAGATGACTTGGAGACCATCGAAGAAGTTGTCTCCTATGATGATGACTGTAGCGCCTCCTGTAGTCCATCCTTCACTGGGACTAATGGCCTTAATGCAGGGAGCCGAGCCTGGAAGGAAGAGAGAAGAACATTTAAAAAAAAAAATCATTTAAAAGAGAAATTAGTTTCTAAACAGGAATCTAGTCTTTTTCATCCGTGTTGCAAATGCACCTCATATTTCTCCAAGCTACACCCTTGGCTTTTGGCAGAGGTCCAGATTAGCACAGCACACTTATACTGTACTCTCAATGCGCTGCAGATTCAAAGAGTCATTCTCAATTGGTCCTTTAGCAGGGAAGTTTCTCCTTGAAAAGTGTCCAGCTCAGTGCAATGAGAGGTGCTGGGAGGATGCTTGTTTTATTTGCATGGTCAAACCGCCATTTGATAATTTTTAAAGCTTATTGTTTAAAGACATCCAGGTAGAACATACAGTATAAGAATAAATGTAACTTTGAAAATGAAAACACTGCAAGACTGCTTTTATTATGGACGGGGAGATTCACTTAAAAGCTCTAAGGATTGCTTGTGTTTGGTGCTATCTAACTACACCGTTTGCAAATGTCTTTGCAGGCCGCATGAGATAAAAATTAGCCGCTAAAAAATATGCATTTATGTAATTTATTGCTGTTAAAAAAAACAATTTCGAAATCCTTTTTTTAAATTATCCAGAGAAGATGAGAAACATGTGTTCATGTTTTCTCCTACTTCGCACAAGTTTCACGTAATGTGATACTCAAGAGAGAGAACTTGTACTGTTAATTTATTTATTTATTTATCTTAAAACCCGACTGACATGAGATTATGGCAGTTCATTTTTTAAACTAATGATATGACATGGATAAACACACACAGAAAGCTCAGCATGAATCGTAATACTTCAAACAGAATGGATACAGTCAGCTTTATGTCACTCCAGCATTGTGGGAGTGAGTATAAGCTGAAATTAAACATACATATATCACACATATCACAACAACAAAAGCTTGTCTGTCAAAAGCCAAATCTCCTTAAAAGTGTGTGTGTTATTACCAACAACGTGCTTTAGTCTGGGTGTGTTTGCAAAAAAGACTCATAATGATATTAGACCTAGTGTGTGTGTGTGTGTGTGTGTGTGTGTGTGTGTGTGTGTGTGTGTGTGTGTGTGTGTGTGTGTGTGCGTGCGTGTGTGTGTATGTGTGTGTGGAGTGGGTTGGATTAGCCAGATGGAGGGGCAGGAATCACCTGATAGGATTAAACCATCAACCATCTGGTGGCCATGCTGCTTACTCTCACACACTTTCACACACAGACAGAGAGACAGACAGGCACACACAAACACACACACACACACACACACACACACACACACACACACACACACACACACACACACACACACACACACACACACACACACACACGCACTCTTGTGTTACCATGTTCTAGGTATCCCTGCGTTCCTTCCGCGGGGTCGAGTCTGCGGGCCCGTCGGCCATGTTTGGAGTTGTTGTGGACGAACATGTTGTCGGAGACTGACAGGACATGTCCATCAACACTCACTGTAGTCGATACCACCACCTGAAGAGGGACAGGACAGGATGGGGGGAGGG